GCTCCTGGTCCTAAACCGACGCCGCTGCTGGGGAGCAGTTGCTGTCAGCTTTAATCCCTCTGTGCGACTCTCATTTTCAGATGGAGATAACTTCTAGCTGCTGCAATACTGCTGTTGTAAAAGAGCCTTGCTAGCCTCGGGACAAAGGCAGTTTCTCAAGTGCTCACTGATGCACGGATTTCTGGCTCGGTCCCGCTCCCTGCGAGGCAGCTCGGGCGGCTCATGGCGCTGGGAGGTGTTTGCCCCGTGCTTTCAGGGCAAGGGGCAGCGGCAGGGCAGCCGGCACCATTGCATTGAGCAATTTTCCGCGTCGGAACAGGAAAAACTCGGATGTCCTTCATGCCGTCTTGTTAGCTAATTGTTATTGGCAACCTCCAACATCTTCCTAAAGGTTGAAAACTGCCACGAGAGGGCAGGAGCCGATGCTGCCGTTTCTAGTTTTGGTAGAAAGGGCTGCAAATACCCGTTCCTAAAGGCTATCCAAATGATTTTCCTTTTTCTGGAGGGTTTGATTCCCAAGCTGCTGTTCAGTCCGTGTCCTCGGCTGTCTCCCTCCCAGGCTGGCTTCCACGGTGACGGCAGGAAAACCCTCCCATGAAGTGAGCAGGGTCCTGCTGGGCAGCTCCCTCCAACGCCCCTCCAGGGGCATGAGCAGAGGAGGGGGCTTCTGCGAAGTCCTCAGCTACCTCACAGGCTTCATTCGCCTCCAAGGGCCGCGCTCTGTTTTTGATGGCCTTGAAGCCTCATCCTGTGTCAGGACGCATGTCAGGACGCATTACCTTTCTCCTGAGGGTCCCTGCGGCTTGGCTGTGAACGGCGAAGCGGTGCGAGCGCGCGTCTTGGTTTTGGTGGGTCCGGGTGCGGTGAGCAGCCAGCTACCCGTTCGAAACGGGAGCAACTGGGGAGATCGGCCGTGGTACCGCGCTGCAAAGCTGCGCGTGACTAAATGGGCTGCGCCCCTGGGGGCGCGAAGCGGGGGCTTTATCTGGGTTTAACGGGACACATGTTTCTGAATTCTGATCACTTTAGGGCAGTGATCGTGCCCC